TCCACCAGGACACCCAGGTCCCTCTGCAAAGAGCTGCACTCCAGCAGGTCCGCCCCAAGCCTGTACTGATGCATGGGGTTGTTCCTCCCCAGGTGCAGGACCCTGCATTTGCCTTTGTTGAACCTCATCAGGTTCTTCTCTGCCCAACTTTCCAGCCTGTCCAGGTCACGCTGAATGGCAGCACAGTCTTCTGGGGTATCTACCACACCTCCCAGTTTGGTGTCATCAGCAAACTTGCTGAGGGTACATTCTAACTCTTCATTCAGGTCATTGATGAAGAAGTTAAACAAGACTGGGGCCCAGTACTGACCCCTGAGGGACACCACTAGTTACCAGCCTCCAACTAGACTCAGTGCCGCTGATGACAACCCTCTGAGTTGTGCCATTCAGCCAGTTCTCAAACCACTTTAACGACCACTCATCCAGCCCACACTTCCTGATCTTCCCTAGGAGGATGTCATGGGAGACTGTGTCGAAAGCCTTGCTGAAGTCTAGGTAGACAACATCCACGGCTCTCCCTTCATCTACCCAGCCAGTCATGCCATCATAGAAAGCTATCAGATTGGTCAGGCATGATTTCCCCTTGGTGAATCCATGCTGACTACTGCTGATAACCTTCTTTTCCTCCACTTGCTTGTTGATGAGCTCTACAACAACTGATGTTGACTCTGCTACAACACAGCTCAGTTTCAGCCTCCCTGCACACAGGGGTAAAGGGAGATGTCACAAAAAGGCATCAACTACCACATTGGACCATCTGTTCACACAGTCTGGCTGTATGTCTGTCTTCTCACAGAGTCCTTAAGAGAGTGGCCTCTTTTCCTAATCTGAAAAGCCAACTGTGCAATATCACACTAAAGCTAAATGTGGTTCAGGTTACACTTTAAAAATGCGGAGTGGCATCTCACAGATGTTTTACAGCAGTTAAGGCAAGTCCTTCAATATTAGTAATAAATCATGTTACTGTGCTACTTGTGCACAAAAGGCCAAAAAGCTTTGGGGGCCAGGCATTTGGCAAATGAAATGGATTGTTATTTGGAGCAGACATCAGTTAGGCAACATGTAAAGGGATAAGACATACTTCTGTCTTATTAACTAACCCGAGATGTACTTCCCCATATCCTTCGAACAGGAAAGAAAGTGTGAGGAGTAACTGCATGCTTGCCACATCTTATAGCTCCGTTACTGTGGCAAGGTATTTTAAATGCAAAGAGGTATTTTAACACATCGACAGGATGAACTGTTCTCTTTAAAGCAACGGTCCCAGACACAAGATTAGCTTCTGCATCTGTTTACAAAGTACTAGAGCCCTCACAGAAAGCTTTATCTGTCTTCCTCAGAAAAAAAGCCAGCCTGGCAACTGTCCAGCAAGATTAGTTCAGTTATGTTTAAGTTGTGGAAAGTAGTAGAAAAGTGCATGTGACCCAAAAGAAAGCAAGAGAGTCGAACATTTGGGCACACTTGGATTTGCATCCTTTAGCAGAGCTACAGGTTCTTTCTCCCTTCTACATTTCTCAGTAGAAGGCCAACAGGCACCTACTCCACTCTATCTTCAGAGCTCAAAGATCTCCACAAAAGGCAGAAGCTAGGTGCCTTCAGAAATATTTAGAAAAATGCAGATCTTTTGAGTCAAGTCTCCAGTTGCTCTCCTAGCTCAGTTCCACGTCCACCTGCAAGGAATTTGTTTCAAGAATATTGTCTAAGACTTGAATTACCAGAAGGGTTTTGCAGCTGTGTGCACAGGAACCTAACTCATTTTAACATGCTAAAGAGCACCTTGTTAATGAACAAGCCTAACACACCCACTGTTTTTTTTCAGGCTTCGTTTTCAGAACCTGTGCTCTGATCTTCTAAGCAGCAAAGCAGCAGCCAGGATTCAGACCATGAGCAGGAAAACTTGAATCCAGCATGTGACTAGGAGTCATTCCCAATCCAAGAAATCAGATTTACATCTGATTACAGATGGAACAGTTTGTTAAGCTTGTCCAAACTAAACTGCTTTCTCCTAGAGTCATACAGCTCCGTGTTAAAGCTCTCCAGACATACTGTGCCGCAGTTTTTTCCTGCTCGTGCTCGAGAAGTAGGTTTAGCTGCACCACTTACCTAGGCACGTAGTGTCACTGAAGCGCTAATTTGCCCGAGACATTTTTGAGAGCAAACAGTAATATTTTTTTAAAAGGACTGGGGAGAAGCAGAGGGAAGAAACAGGAAGGAGAGAGATGACAAAGGGATGGAAAGCACTATAGTATCCCAGTGAATACTTCATATAAACAAGAAAGAATACACTTCTATTTGCACTAAGATGAGGGTTTCCTCTTGCTCACTCTTTTAGAGGCGGCATGTTAGCATTTCCCCATGGAAGATCAGTGGAGGTTTCATGAGAGCAAGTCAGACTGACAAAATATCACTGTGCAACTAAAGCAGGTAGAGATACTCGAATGGGGGAGCTCATGTTTTCATCTCCAGCCCTGGAAGAGCTGGAGGAGTATGCTCTTGGAAGAGCTCTCAAGAGTTAGTTTATGCAGGTGCAATGTAAGGGATAGACCTCCATCACATTTACTGATAAACAAGACAGTAGAAAAGCATTTGCTCCCAGAGGTGTAAAGTACACACAAAATTC